TTTTGGTTTTATGATATAATATATATATATATATATGTGTGTGTGTTTTACACCCACAAACCACATCGAAAATATGAAGCTAAATGGGGATTGCGAAGGGTTATATAGTGCACTTTGATGCCCTGAGATGCTTGTTGGCGACACAAGTAGTACTGGATACATGCGAAGGCAATTCCAGCCTGCTGCTTGTTGAGGTCATCCTCTACTTCAGCAATGTTGGAAAGTTCAGGTGGCGGCAGTCCAAAGTCTGAACAATCTCCCTGCAATACGACGATTTGCTCCTGGTGTGAAGACGGTTCGGAGGGACGGTGGCTGGGATTCGATCTTTTCGGCTCTTGACACTCAAACTAGGTGCCACCTTTCCCAAAGGAAACTTACAACAAATCTACCCGCACCGATGTTGGGGTGCTATCACACAACAGTTCTCGCTTTAGCTGGAAGGATGCCTTCTTCGTTTGGGAACGGAATTGCATTTTCGGCATCGAATCGTGAGGTGTGTCTGGAGGGGAAGTGGTGGGAGAAAAGATGCCTATAACCAGGACATGAAAAATGCAATGTTTGCAACATTTGATGTGGAGGTACAGGTATTGTGCTATATGATCTGGGAGGGCAGGGCATAGGACATGAAGTGGTACGCATGCAGAGAGAAACTACGCAAACTGCTTTCATGGATCTGGTGCTGCAAACGATGCAAGTACAGAACGGAGTGATCATTATTAAGAGAAAGAAGTAGGAAATAGCAAGACATAGGTGATACATACAAAACTATACAAATATGCATGATTGTCAAGTGACATAGTGATGAACCTTGCAATGAAGTGGATAATAACAATTTGCAGGAAATGTACAATTTCAATCGGTCAATTACAATACATGCATGTATATAAATGCAATACATTGCAATACGATAGAATATGATAGAATAGAATTCAATTCAATCGGATACGATACAGCACAGCAGTATATACCACAATGTGGCGGACAAAAAAATGTATATATATAGATAGGAAATACAAAAATTGCAAATTGCAGGCATTGTTGAATATAAGTTGGAAGTTGGACCCCCTTTAAAACTGTACAATTTTAAGGGGGAAATGAACAAAATTACAATGCATACAATGCGGTACAATATGACAGAGTAGAGTCAAATTATATAAATCGAATATGACACCTCTACCTGAATATGTGTCCGACCTAAAGGATGGACAGGCCATGCCCACTCTGTCTCTCAGAACAACTGGTGCAAACGGTGATCGTCGCAAAGCGACCTGAATAGATTTACTCCATGAAAGCTGCGGAACCTTTGCTCCTAGTAGCATCCTTGCTCCTAGTAGTAAGCCCCTAGTAGCGTCCTTGCTCCGAAGTAGCGATGCCAGGAGCCCCTAGTAGCGTCTGTTTTGCTGAAAATTCTGTCCTTAAGACCCTGCCATTCTGCTTGCCATTCCTGCATCTGCTGGGCATTTCTCTTCGCATCATCCATGGAGAAGTTTTCCGTGGTCTTTGGCTTCAGAGATTGCCAGCGTGATGCAAACTTTTCAATCTCGCTGTTCATTGAAACAATGCGCTGGTCCATTTTGCCTTTCAATTCCTCTCGCAGGTCATGGGCAAGCTGCTCGAAGGCTTCAAGGCGGATAAGGAAATCATCCCATTTGTTCTGCACCTCATTCATGTCAATACCTGCAGCATAGGACTTCAAGAGCTTGTTCTTCTCTTCTGCAGCATCCAGCTGCTTCTTCACCTCGTGATGTTGCTCCATGAGCTGCTTCGCATCCTCTTGCGCTTTGCCAAGCTCTTGCACAGTGTCGGGCCTCACATTGAGCTTCTCTAAGCCTTCTTCCAAGAACTGCATCACTACCTTCACCTCATCCGAAGCCTTGCGTTTCAGAGAAATGATCAAAGCATCACTTAACCGGTCAAGCTGATCTTCAATGACAGACTTCAAAATCACCGTGCTGATGGTGAAGCAGTCAATCTTTACGGTATCCGGAATCTTGTCCATCTCCTTGCGCTTGGCCTTAATGGCTTTGAAGTTCATCTCCCAATCCTTCGGATCCGTCAGCTCATCGACCAGCTCTTGGACCCTCTCAGGGAGAAGACCAACAACCAGCCAGGGAGCGTAGGAGTTCTGCAGCCGCTGCACTTTGACAAAGAGCTCATCTGCCTTCTGGAAAACCACGGCAATACCCTCAGCATTGCGGTCCGGCATGACCTTGTAGACATGGGGTGCACCATCAAGACCTTTGAACTGCAAGGGCAAAGCGATGAAGGTCTTGATCTCTTTGAAGTAGGCCGCCTTCAATTCTTCCAAAGGAGGCTTCAATTTCAGCTGCTTTTGGGCCACAATCAAATCAGCCTTCATTTCAGGCAAATTCTCATTCAGACTCTCCAAGCCAAAGCGATACTGAACTTCCATGATCTTGAAGATTTGGTAATCCCAATGAGATTTCCATGGCTTGGCATCTGCAACTTGACACTGCACAGCGCCAATGGTGGCATCAATGTGCTTCTGTATCTGTGAGATCTTCTGCTTCCATTGGTCTCTCTGTCGTAGCAAGCTGATATTGGCAAGCTGCACCACCTCCTGCGAGACCTGACTGTGACCATTCCGTAGCTTTCGATTCACTTCGCGCAAGCGTTCAGCACCATCTTTGACATGCCGAGTGAAAGCTTCCAGTTGATCAAGCTTGTTCCATTGCACTTTCCTCATACCACTCTTGTCATTGAAGAGCTGTTCGAAAGCAAGAGCAGGCTGCAACACCATCAATTTCTGAGAGGGAAGCAGTTCTGCTGATAAGGTGTTGTAAAAATTGCAAACCTGCTTGAGCTGCACTGCAAAGCGGTAGAATTTCATGCCATCTTGAACCGCAGCCTTCACCTTCGGCGGAATCGTACATCCCAATTGCTCAAAAAGACGTGCATCTTTCACCAGCTCTATGAGGCGCTCAGAATATGTGATCTTCAGCGCACCTTGTTGAGCAGTGTCAAAGTCCATGACACGACTGTTCATTTCAAGCGCAATGGGATCATCAGGATCTCTAAGCTGCGAATCTACCTCCTCACACCAGTCCTTGAAAGCTTTGTTTCGGTACTCCTTCAATTCGGCACGCACCTTTCGGTAGGTATTCCCCACCTTCCCTGCTGAGGGCAGATCCTTGAGAAAGCCTTGCAATGGCCGAGCAGCCAAATCAGCCTTACTTCGAAAGTGCTCCACCCAAACCATCTTTCGTGCTGGAAGGCTCAACCCGCGACCAGCTGGCAAGTTGCTCACCTCAAACGTTTCAAGCTCAGATTGAACTCGACCCAGAAAATCATCCAACTCGGTCAAGAGCCGCTCCCGTTCGTTGGTCAAGGACTGGCGGATGTTCTTTCGCTCCAACAGATCCTGATATCTTTGGAAGACTCGGACGGTCTGTGCGGGGTTGGATGTGTTGGTGAAGAGTTCGGCACGCAGCCGCTCAGCGACCCGAGCTTCAATGGGAGCCATGCGTGCCTCATAATCAGACAAAGCGGCTCTCCATGCGGGCACGGTGTAGTCATTGTAGCTGAAGGCCGAGAGCTTTATGAATGGCTCAAAGCAACTCTCGATTTGCATATCTCTGAGTTCTTCGGCACTCAACAGTTTGAGAATCTGATCATGTTGGCCTCGCAACTGACTCACTTCCTGTATGCGCACAGCTAGATTTGCCACGAAGTCATCCTTATAGGCTTCTCCTTCCCAAACATTCTCGCTTGAACGCCACTGCTCCGTCAGGTCGACTGTGATTTCATTCCAGCGTTCACAAACCTTGTAGCCTTCGCGAATATGCTTTGAGACTTGCGAGAATGATGATGTCCAAATGTTCAAGCTGTTGAGCCTGGATTGCACACACCGACCAAAGGAGCCAGAAAGGATCTTTAGAAAGTGCAGCATTCGAGCAGCCGGGTATTTCGGCTGAGCTTCATTCTGCCACAGCCCATCCAACGATTCCATCACGTTGTCCATGAATTCGAGCAATTGCGCAAATGTCTTTTTGGACATATCATCTAAGTCTGAGCCAATGACAGACAAAGCTTCGGAAAATTTTGTGGCACGCTCAACTGCAGAATCACTCACTCCAGTCGCGTTCTTCAGCTCTTCCCAGAAGCGAACCTCATCGATTGGTGTGACAATTCCTGCAGGGGCATCCACATGCGCACAGACATACACCATTCAATCCCTCCCCTTAAAAAAACAATAGCAAACTCCGTGCCCCCACGCACACCACCGGGCCCCCGCAAGCCTGAGACATCAGTCTCTTCAAAATCGCCAACATTTCTGTTCCGGAGCCCACGGCGCAATGATGCATTGAGGCCTGCGTCCAGCTCTGTCAAGCAATCTGTGAGGCGACCTTCCAGATCAGAATCCTTTCCACTTTCCACCAACAACGGCATGAAGACCTCGCGGACGTTGTAGAACAAACTGCGCACCGGTGACATTCTCAAAGACGAAATGAGCACCAGTCTTGAGATGTTCTCCTCGGTCAATGGCTCGTAGGAGGTCTTGATGAAGTGCATCTCTGGAATGCCCTCTGCATAACTGGAAAAGCCCAACTGTAGAGTCACAGTTCTTTTATTCGTGTCGCTTGAGTCATTCTCCACAGCCTGGAGCAATTTTTCATTTGGATGATCCAAGAACTTCTCCAACGCTGTGTTTGACGTGGTGTTGCTGCGGAATTCACTCCGTGGTATGTTCAGCACACTGATGATGCATTGAACAATGTACTCTTTCCGAGGATCGTTCATGGCACAGCAGATGTCTACGCTGAGATGCAATCAGGCTGTTCACTTGGCTCGAGTCCTTTACGTGCGGCCAACCCTGGCCCCAAGAACTGTGTGATGTGCTAACCCATGCAAGAGTAATGCCCTAATGCATGCATGTCAGGTGCTTTTGGCTGTCAAAGTCTGCGGAAACATCTGAAACAAAATATCTTCAACTGCAGTGTGTTGATGTGCTTTGCACTTCGGCTGAGGCTTCTTGAGCATGGCTTTGTGCTGAAGGCTGCGGAATTACCGACAGCAACGACTTCAGAAGAACATGTCCAGACAAGAAAACGTCTAATCGAAGACAATTGCAGACATCACCACGTCACTATTTTTCTGCTGGCGAGCGCCCAGTTCCTCACATCCAAAGTGTTCCAACAATAACATGAAATAGATTGTCCAACACATCTCTGAAGCAAGTCCAGCCTCACGCCCCCCGTCGTAAAGATTTAAAGTCAGAATCACAAGCAAAGAGAGCAAGTGTCCTTCAGGATTGCACTTGACGGTGCTTTCGTAATGTTCGATGTAGTGGATGCTCCTGCCCCAGCTGCCAAGCTCAAAAGCGCCACCAATCTTGCTGAGATGTTTCAATCCGCAAGAAAGCTGTCTCAGAGATGTCCTGTTTTTTTCGCTTTCTCCGTTCATCCGGATCAGACCCCTTCTCTTTGGCCTAGACCCCAAAAGGTTGATCACTGCGCAAAGGAAGCTGTTTGATGATGGGCACTTGCTTTCCTCCGCTACACTGTACACGCTATCTCAGGACCATGATTGCAATGAAAAGCGGAGGAGAATCTAGAATCTAGCAGGTGACGTATGTCGTGAGGTACCAGTATCATTGGAGGCTCAGCGTAAGGCAATATGTGATCTCTGTTTAGCATGGCAACACAGCTTTTACAGTGATCTCTGCCCTTCCAGATCATCTTTTACAAGGGTGCACCTTTTTAGCCAGCATCTTCGTCATCTCCACATCTCGCATCACGAGAGATAGCTTCCTGCTCGAGTCTGGGAGACTGCTGGATTCACAAGTGAATCTGCTTACGCACAGCAAGAGCAAATGGTATTCAAGTTTGACGTTTCAGACCCTTTGTATTGCTCCTGCAACAAGCAACTGCGCAACGAAAAAATTGAATAGAAACAAACAAACAAAAACCAAGTCGCCTGTGAAAGGCTGCCCGGCCACTGGTGAAAGCTTCGTTGAAGTCAATGAGGTCGGTAAATCGCTCACCCTCACAGGTGCGCAGGGTAAAGATACCCGGTGAACAAATCGTTCAATTGTAGTCGGTGCATGTGGCTACACTATTTCGATCCAGTCTTCTTCACTTCGATTCGACTTAGGGAGCCGCATTCCACGTAGATAAGCTTTTGGAATCCACCATGTGCAGCTGCTCAGACCTCAACAAGCTGCGTCAGTGAAACGTTCCACGGCTTTGCGACTGAGGGGGCAGCTCGATCCATCCTCTGATTGTAACCTCGGTAGATATGCCGAGCTTCAGTGAGGAGCTTTTGCCAGGTCTTTGGGAATCCCTTGATACCAACCAAGCAAGGCAAGAGTTGGTCAAGCCCAAAAAGAGCTAAAGGCCAGGAGGAAATTAGCATTAGCTCATAGAACTGAGAAGCGCAGCAACATACAGCAACGAATTGGGAATAGGTGAAGAGAACGAGTGACAAGACCCATTGGCAAAGCAACTGAAATGAAAAGGAGGGTTCTCAAGAGGCAGAGTGCGAACAAGCAAGCCATGTTGCAGGCACCGAAAATCTGGCACCAGTTAGGAGGAGAAGGAAATGAGAATCAGAAACAGCAAATCAAAAGATGGAAATGCAATGAATCTGGCCTAAAGTCCAGCTGCCACAGTGTACGGGAGCTTATATCATTGACATGATTTATGGAAAACATATTTGAAAAAATGGGATGCGGGTTGGCGAGGCCTGTTGAATTTTGGAAAATTAATGCTTTGATTACTGTTCTGCAATGACAAAGATACAGGAAAGACTATGAGAGAGGCTGAGCCTGAGCTACGTAAAAATCCTGTGGATGGTTTCCGGATGTTTCCGGACAAGGTCCGACTCTATGAATGCAGCGCAACACCCAGCGGCTGAACTCTTCCGACTCTAAAAGAAAGGCCAAGTGCTGCACATCAAATGGCCCGGAACCATCTGGGTATTGGATGCCGACAACCTGTGAGCAGTTCGATTCAATCTTCAGCTATTAGGTTGGAGGGCATCGCTATTAGGTTGGGCCCACTTGGAATCAGAGCACCTCTCCAATCACTTCTGAGCGAAAGAGGATTGCTTTGTCACTCCTTGGCACCCAACGCAGCATGGCCGACGGACGTGACGGCAGACGTGTCTTTCGTTCCTGCTCAGCCATTGGCTTCACGGACTCAGACTTTGTGAGTCTCTGCATGACCTGCACAACCAAACGCCGTTCAGACTGGTATAAATTCATGTGGTTCTGGCCTTGTAGGCGACTAAATGTGCATCCTCTTGATGTCCAAGGTATTCCCAGACAACTCCAGTCAGCACAAAGCCACGGGAACGATACCTCAAGAAGCAGGCTCAAGAACAGGTTGAGAGATCACTATGGGATCCTTCGTTCCAAAAGAAAGTTCTCACTTTCAAATCGAAGTCAAGCTGTTGGCTTCCTTTTTCTCCACGACTCTTCTCAACTCGAGATGATCACAGCTTGTCTCAGCTGATCGCCAGTTGAAGGCAGATGTATTTGAATCCAGGACCTCGGAGGAAAAAGACACAGGTTGTCTCTCATAAACCCAAAGCAGTTTGCTAGCCGCATCTCTGCATCGTTGCCAAGTGGCACTCAAACGTAAGTCATCAGCTTCTGGACCGCTCACCTTGAACATCACACCGAGTCGTCTGTCTACGCTTCCGCAGCTCGCTTCAGCAACAGCGTCAGCAGGCCTTTCTCATCCCATCCAAGAGAAGTGTTCCCAAACCGCGCTGACGATGTGTGGAGCGCACATAGAGCTGTTTCACCTACACATGAGAGCTGCATGCTAAATTCTGCGGAAACACAAATGTGGAGCAATGATAGGTTACAGAAGTTGTCATTTCAAGCAAAAACTGGTCTTATTGTGCAACAAAGCATATCAAAGCAAGGTGGTTTGAGATTGGCAAGCAACAGCAACAGCCGACAAAAAAAAACACTCATTGAAACTCAAAATGTTTCAGACACCGTAAGAAACATTTTTCAGACATCACTCCAGCAAAGAAAGCTGGAATCAGGTCTTCAAAATGATCAAAGCTTCGACAAAAGTCGGTGTTTGTTGAGCTTGTGCACCTGCACGTACGCCTCTGGTCTTCTCCTCCAGGTCACGGTATGTCGACCGGAAGCGATGTCAAACTGCTCGTGGCACCCGGACAGGTCCTCTGGGACTTCTGGACATGGAGCATGATGTAGCCCACCTTGTGGCAAACACGGCAAGCACCAATTATATAGATCAAACCGAACTATGCCGGGCCTGAGTGGGGCCATCATCAACCATCAAGACATGTATGTTCCGAAATACCTTATCTTCCTGAGGAAGCACTTGAGTGTGGGAAAACGCAATACTAACGTAGCGTGGCTGCAAGTCCTGCTTCACCATGCCAACAAGCTGCTTTTCTCTGCCTGCAACAAGATTTGTCATGTAAAATGTATCATGTGCCCTGCGGGACTACGTTCCCCCGACCTCCAGGCTCCAGCATGATCTTTTCAGGGCAAATTAAACCTCTCCCAAAGTCGATGCTTCACCGTTCTTTGCTTGTTTTTTTTTGAAGCCCGCCCTTACCCCTTACTTAATTAAGTAATCACCTACTTACTGTAATTAAGTAAGGGCTGGGAGGGCTACGTTGCCACTACTAACCTGCAACTAGCTAGCACGCAGGATAGCTCACGCTTCTCATTTAGACACGACGGACGCCACTGGGGGCGTTGCAGTGCTGCCAATCTGAAAGTGTGACCTGTTGGGCCGCCGGGCCCGGGCTTGAGCGGGTCAGCCGGGTCGGAGACGGGAGTAGTGCGCTTCTGCGTCAGAGTGGCCTTGTCGTAGAGCTTCTGCGTCAGTGCATGATGCTCAAGGACAAACTCATCCTGGCCAAAGAAATAGAAAACTGCCTACAGCCAAAGTACGAAGGTTCAAAGAAGAAAGTCCTGCAACTTCATAAATGCTGGAACATCCTCAAGGGATATCTTCCTGATGGAATCCTGAAGCATGACAGCATCTCGCTGAGGTTGCTGGTGCATCGCACTTGTGCTGAGGCTGAAGCGCTTCCCATTCACAGCACGGGGCTGGACAAGTGACCGAAAATGACCGAAGCATCTAAGGCTCAAAGAGGTCAGTGCTAGGTCCTCAAAAGCCGAGCTGACCCGTTGCTAAGCTTTGCAAGGATAATCAGTGGGCATTTCTTTGGGAACACAAAGCCAAAACTGGGGTCCTGCCTGTCAATCTGGTGAGCTGAGCACGCCACTCTAATGCTGGTCTGCATGAAAAGCCATAGCATCAAGGTTGCGAGTGTGCCAGGTTTTGGACGTTTTGGAAGCAAATGTGATTGAAATGTTCCGTGCTGCGTGGCTTCTCAGGGGCTGTGTGTCCATGGGTGAGCACTTTGTCAATATATCAATCCTCCTTGTCGTTCCCTATCTGTTTGATATGCACACAGGCGCCTTGGATAAGTTGGGCCAAAGCATATGATCTTCCATCAGCGCGGCCACTCAGCCTGTTAGTCCCTCTAGTAATGCCAGGTTTACGATTGCTCTTGCTGGCTCGTTGGGAACTTCGTTTGGGATAATTACGCCATGATAGGTGTGAGAGAGAGACCTGCATCCTTTTGTTCACGGCCAAGCTAAGCGAATCATCCTGTGTCACTCTTACTAGAATCCTTCTGTGCGAGGTCAGGTTGTCCCATCTTGGAACAAAGCTATAACCTTGCATCTGACTCTTCCTTGAGGCATTCGCGAAGGAGCAACTCAACATCTGCATCCTTCCGGGAAGGCTTCCGAACATAGCGGGCTAGAATTCTTTGAGCCAACCTGCGCTCTCCTAGGAGCCTCCGCCCTTCCTCTGGCATGGTCAAGCGAAATCGATGCTCCGTCGGAATGTGGTCTAAGGTTTCCTGTCGACCCTCCAGCAACGCAGTCTGCCCGGATTGGCATAGCTTTTCAGATGCTCTTCGAGCAAAGCCCAACACAGTGGCCTGTGACAAGCTGGCCACTTTCGGCAGAAGTTCTTCAAGTCCTGGGTCCTTGAGCAATGTATTTTTTATTTCAGAGACCTTTTCATCAATTCCACATCCTTTGATGAGAACATCACCTTCCGTGGTGACTTCCAGCATACCAGCCCAGGTATCTAAATTCTGTGAAGTGAGGCAGTCCGTGATCCGCTCTCCAGATTGCTTGCTGTGAGCAATGGCCAACATGGTCAAAGACCGAAAGCAGTCACCATTCGACCACGCCACAGCTGAAGGCAACAGCTTCATCAGTTCATTGACAGTCGTCTGTTTCCCAGTGCCGCTTCCCCCGACCACCACCACTACAGCCCCATCTCTGGGCAATTTGGAGGCGATGAATTCGGCACACTGATTTGGTGTCATGCTCATCACATCGATGTCTTCATAGGCAGGTGTCTCTTCAAGCTGAGCTAGCAAGCCTTCTTCTATTGCCTGTTGAACACCATCAGCTAAGAACTGTGCATCTTTCCTATCCCTGGCTTCAAGGGCATCCTGCTCCAATTTCGCCAACTTCATGAACCGACTCTCAGATTTGAAATACTCGATAATTGAATTCGTGCTGCAGAAGTTCTGCATCACCAGCAAGTCTTGCGACAATCGCCCAGCTTGCCTGCGAGTTGAACTGGGTGAAGAAGGTATGCTCCTCCATGGTTGCGTGAGGCCATTGCAAAAGCTTCCTGCATGAACGTTATTACTATACAGGCCAGCTGCAAGAGCACTACAGGTGAGTACTCGCGTCAAGCGAACGCTTCGCTTTCGAACACTCCCAAATAAAGAGCACGTTCTCATTCCAGCACACCTAAGCTTTGGCTAAGAGTTCACACCAGCCACTTGAGCCAAATTATGTTCTAAGGTCCTCAACTTAAACCAGTCGCTGCAGTCTGTGACGTCTAACCAGGGCCGACATGGGCTCAAGCCTGCTTATTCACACGGATTGGCACGCTGTAATCGAGTGAGACATCGCTCCATGGCCATAACACAATCGTCCTCAGTCGTCCCAAGCCAATGCACTGTGCATTCCTGGCATGGTTGAACTAGAAGGTCGGACACTCCGTGTGAAGACAACGAGATTCATGCTGTCTCAGAAGCACGCAAGCCGCCCACTTCCAGTCATCCCTTCCGACCCCTGCCTGCGCTCGGGCCAAAGCCACCTTTCCCTCGCCCTGAGCCTTTCAAGCGTCCCTTCGTTCCACCCTTTCCTGAGCGTCTCGTTCTTTCTACCCGAGCCAAGACGGAAGAAAATCAGGCCATGGCCTTTCCGCGGGCCAACCCAATCCATATCCTGGAATCGGAAGCAAAAGGACAGCAAGATGTATTGACACAAATAAGGCGGTACTCTACTCTAAATCAATTGGACGCTGTGATGCCTGGGGGAAAGAAGAAAAGAACACTCCTCTTCACCAAACTGGCCCAATAACCATGGGTCATTTCGCAAGCTTCCCCGCTGCTTCATGTCACGAAGCCTTGCAATCATTAAAATGTCTGGTGTTCCGTGTCACATATCTTCTTTGAACACACAGTACAGGAACGCAGCATTTGCCTCAACTAGTCTGTAGCTGTCTTCTATCTATGTTCTCATCTGAGGAGAGGTCTCTTGCCGCCAAAAGTCATCGTCTGACTTTCGGGCCGCCGTTGATTCGGCAGCCTTCACCGTCACCTGTCCACTTGAGACATCGACGAAGCAGCAATCTCACTGAAGTGAAGCATTCCTGACATGATCTTGATCAAATTGTGTGGTCGAAGCATCCCCTTACAAAGGCAAAGTAACAAATGCTCAGCCTTCGTTTAGGCCAGCTACCAAGGAGAGAACAAGGCTAGAACAATGTCACAATATCATCAGATTGACGCGAACTGCCAACAGCCTATGAAATCTCAATGGCTGGCAACAGCTTGGGGATACGAGTGCAAAATGTCACAGAAGGAGCAAGCAAAGCCCGCCAGTTTTGCTGTCAAGCAAAAGACCGAGGCGAATGTTATGCCTTGAGCTCGTGCCCCAGCAAGTAGCGCCCATGGAACAGTTCTGCAGCATCAAAGCCCACGCCCTGTTTGCAGAGCGCATTCTCCACACTTTACAACTCTAACCACGAGTCACTGCTATCCATTATGTCTCCAAGTGTATGTATGCTTATTCAAAAGACCAGCGAGCAACTAGTAACTAGGGCCTGGCGCACGTAGCCAATGGTTGCTGTGGGCAAGGGGCCCTGGTCAACCTAGTGAGAGCCAGTCAGATCATGGCTAGAATGTTCAGTTGGCAAGATGCCCCCAAAAAAAGGTTGTGCCTGGATGTTGGCGATCTGTCCAGCCTGCTTTTCAGGGACTGCTTTCAGGGACTGCTTTCTAGCCCCACATCTGCCGCCTCTTCGAAGAGATGCTTTAGTTGCTGCCCTTCCACACCAGGAGGAAGGTTCCGCACAAAGATCTGCGAGGTGTCTTCAGCATATGCAAAATTTTGGAACACTCAGCCGACTCAGCCAAAGATCTGAGGTTGAGACTGCTGATCCCACAGTCTGAGGTCCATCAAACTGATCGTGTTCCCAACTGGCAAAACCAAGGGCGATGATGAAGGACTGAACTGAAACGACCATCGATGAAAGAAAATTGCGACAAGTTCGACAAGTTCTGGCCAATCACTGCACCAAGGCACTCAGGCTCATCCCAGTCATACTGTGAGTAGCGAGGGAAGCCATTGTAGTCGGCACTTGGCACAAGACTCACAAGACTCCCGTTCAAAATCTATCAAGACGCATCAAGCAACCCATGCAACCTGAAAACTGAGGTTGCAGCTCAACCTCGAACTCATCATAGGGTCCAACGCGCCTCCAAGTGTCCGTGATCCCCACAAAGCTAGTTGGACACCAGAGGATTTGGTGCTGATATGCACATGCGCATGACTTGAGGATGATGCCCAAATGCTCGGAGTTTGATGTATCTTGAAGCACTATATCTTGAAGAGCATCAGACCACAATCAGAAGCATACTGCCTCTTTGTATCACTTCTAGGTGCTTTCTTAATACTTTTTCCATGCCCACTGCCTGCCCCTGACCTTACGGACTGGACCAGCCGCTTGCTCCTGAAGGGACAGCTCTCACTGTTCGCTACTCAAAAGAACTGGTAGAAAATGACCAGCCAAAACCTTCTGACCTCAACATCGAAGGCTCTGGCAAATGCAGATGCTCTGGGATTGCTGCCTGGGCGTTTTCGGAATCCCTTCTACTAGGAGCGCCCCTAATAGCGACCTTGCTCCTAGTAGAAATGCCCTTTGTTCCTAGTTGCTTCTTGTTCCTAGTAGTAGGGCCAGG